CCCCAGGTGTCCCCAGGTGTGTCTCACCTGCCAGCCCCAGGTCGATGAAGGGATAATTCACCAGCACGAGTTTGTTGAAGTTGAATTTGTAGGTGAAGCGTTTGCCCTTGGTCTTGTGCAGGATCCGCTTGTTGTAGTAATACCTGGGGGGGAGGGGCTCACCTGAGACCCCCTCAACACCTGGGACCCCTCCCCCAACACCTGGGACCGCCAAAATCCCACCTGGGACCCCAAAATCCCACCTGGGACCCCAAATCCCACCTGGGACCCCCAAAATCCCACCTGGGACCCCCAAAATCTCACCTGGGACCCCCCAAATCCCACCTGGAACCCCCCCAAATCCCACCTGAGACCCCCCAAATCCCACCTGGGGACCCCAAATCCCACCTGGGGACCCCAAATCCCACCTGGGACCCCCCAAACCTCACCTGAGACCCCCCAAATCCCACCTGGGACCCTCCCCCAACACCTGAGACCCCCCCAAACCCCCCCCAGTTCTCTCCCAGTAACCCCCCAGTGGGCCCCAGGTGAGCTCGGGGGTCCCCAGAGGTTCTGGGGGTCCCCAGGGCGGTTCCGGGGTGATTTTGGGGGTCCCAGGGTGATTCTGGGGTGATTTTGGGGTGATTTTGGGTGATTTGGGGTGATTCTGGGGGTCCCAGGGTGATTCTGGGGTGATTTTGGGGTGATTCTGGGGTGATTTTGGGTGATTTTGGGGTGATTCTGGGGTGATTTTGGGGTGATTCTGGGGTGATTTTGGGTGATTTTGGGGTGATTCTGGGGTGATTTTGGGTGATTTTGGGGTGATTCTGGGGTGATTTTGGGGTGATTTTGGGCTGATTTTGGGGGTCCCAGGGTGATTTTGGGTGATTTTGGGGTGATTTTGGGGTGATTTTGGGGTGATTTTGGGTGATTCTGGGGTGATTTGGGGTGATTTTGGGGTGATTTTGGGTGCCCCCCTGACCTGAGGGCGCGGCTGAGCTTGTCGTAGTTCATGTGGGGCTTGCACTTGCGCACCCCCCAGAGCCGCGCCACCTCGTCGGGGTCCTTGATGACGAACTCGCCGTAGTCGCCCTGCCAGGCGATGACCTCGCGGTACTGCTCCTGCCGCAGCAGCTCCAGGATGAAGTGCCACAGCTGGATCTGCCGCGAGCCGGGGCTCGACTCCGCCTTGTACGCCCACTCGGGGAACGCGAAACCTGCGGGGACACCGACGGCAGCGGCGGCGTCGGCGTGACGTCATCGTCACGGTGACGTCATCG